TAGGTTGACATGATGGGACAATAGTGGTTTCTCTGGTTTGTTCTTATCTATGGGAGCAATTGTGACATTCACAATTTGAGTTTTGCCATCATAATCTATCCAAGCTTGGATAAGATCACCGCTCTCCAAGTCCATTTCTTCTTTGTGCGCACCTGCGACAAAGTAAGCAGCTGGTTCAGATGCCACAGAGTACACACTGTTAATGTTGATGCCAACATGGTTTCCTGCAGTGTTGGAGTTTTCCTTGAACCCGTTTACCGTATCGAATTCAACAGCAAAGATGTGGTTCGAAGAGCTATTGTCATTTTTAGAGTTGACAATCCCAAGGAAGTGCCCGGGTTCAGCCCCGGGGAACCGTGGAGAGGGAGCCAGTGTGAAGGCTAGGCCAAAGCCACCTTTGCCGGGGCTTGATGAGACTATTGCAAAAACAAAATGTGTGCTGAAAGAAGCATTGGGGTTTGAAGAATTGTTTTTGTCAAACATGTTTATAGGTTTGTCATAGAATGCATGGCCTATAATATCATGTGATTTGTTAGTGAGCCTGATCATACCAGAGGGCTTGACTATAGAAGCCCCCTCCAGGGTCAGATTTGATTCACTTCCATTGAACCCATTGAACAGGAATTCAACTCCCTGAACCAGAGAGTAAATGGGAAACAAGAAGACAAGGAACAAGGCTAAAGAAACTGCTAAAGCCATTGAAGTTTTGAGCTGAGAAATTGCAGATTAGAGCAAGTCGAAAGACCTTAATGTAGCTGACAAATGAGAGGAAGGTGAAGGACTTGAATTGGTCAAGGTTTAGAGCATATGGTCTGTGCTGAGCCCAAGTCAGCAAGAATGGTAAAACTTAGATTTCTTGGGCAAGATAATTATTGCCTCCATTGACTTGCTCAACCTCTAACATTTAAACCTCTTATGAAATGTCATGGAAGAAAAGGACTTGAGTGCTTATCAACTTCGCTATAGATCCTTCTGTGAACTCTTTGGCACAAAAAGACCGCTAACTATAAGTTCAGCCTTGACCCTTTTGACACGCAGAGAGCACACAAAGAATGGGAAGAAACAAGAAAAAAAACAAACCTGAAATTATAATATTTGGGCTTCTGGGTGGGCTTTTTACACTTTCGAATGATGATGCTATGTGTTGGCAGTAAGAGGCTAAGCCCAACACGACACCCAGATAATCAAATGATGATGTTACGTGTTTAGGAATTTAACATATGTGATATAACTTAGAAGCAGACTTTCCTGGATGCAAGAAAGGAACCCTTTCTTCTAAAAGCAGGTTATGAAATGTAGGCTCTTAGAACTAAAACAACTAATAAGCAAGCACCAATGAAAGATTAACCCATTGATGAATTGAATCTCCACGTTGTTGTTATGAATGTTTTCTTAATTATACTATTTTTAGTAATTATGTTTAGACTAAACAATCCATATTATTACATCGTTTGTATCAAAAAAGAAAAATCCATATTAGTATACTCGGTGGGTTTTGTTGACCCAAGAGAGCCAGGAATCTCTCAATCATTGAAGATTATTGCAGTCTTTTCTCCTCTGCCATGTCAAAGTTAACTATGCGATTGTGTGTGTGTGTGTGTGTGTGTGTGTGATCACAAGGCACGGCCATTAGGATTGATTTCAGACCTACGAACCCACATATACTTCTGTAGTTGGATAAAATATCAGGCAAAAACCACAACAGAAACATCACACAGAAACTTCTCATTTTATCCCCTTGATGATTGGCATTACGTGTAATAAAAGGCGTGCTATCAAATGTCATAAAAATCAACAAATAGTAAAGGATCCGTAGTTTCATGCAGTGTTCAAAGTTCAAACAAACCATTCAACACATTGACTTGGTGCCTCCAATATATTTTCATAAAAAATTAGTTAAAATAGCAGGCAAAAACTACAACAGAAGCATCACCACATAGACTTCCCATTTTATCACATTGATGATGATGACCATCATGTTTAGATCATGCATTCTAAACTTTGATGGCAACCCATCATATAATGTCTGATCCCACACAGTTGTTATAGAGCCTGCACACACTTGATAAGACATGAGGCAATAAGAAAATAATATCAAATAATACAGACAAACGCAGAAGTTGTTAGGCGAAAACTTGAACCAAATTCATGGAAACCTTAATTATTTTACTGATCATCAATTTTGTCTTCTGCATTTTATTCTTTCAAATAAATACTTGAAGATAACTTGAAGCCTTTGGATAGGAAAGGCCTTGACCAAGACCATTACTGTAAATTTGGTTTACATGTTGACTGACTAGATGGCCGTTCTTTGATTTAATACCAGAGATTAGTATCTTTTGATCAAGAAACCTTAAGTCTTGGCATCAAGAAGCATTTTTTTAACTACTTGAGGACAAGTATACAGATGAATATAATACTCAGCCTCCCATTGCCACAATTATCCAATTTGCAGCATGTGGAAATGTTTTCATTCAAATGTGACAAGATTATTAGATTGACTAAGGCGTGAATTTGAAGAAACCTATCTAACAATCTGCATGAACATGCTTAAAATATGACTTGGCATATAATCTTTTTGTTTCGGCCAAACGATACACGCTATTGGCTCTAAACCTCCATGTCTTAATTAAGCCATGAATTATGATAACAAATAACTAACTTTCAATTACATTGCAATGGTTCATCATATATCGCTTTCTGCAATTACACCTGCAAACAACAGAACCGACAAAACAGGATTTTCCATAGCTTTTTGTACTCACATGGTCCAAATCCAAAACTCACAAATCAAATCAACATGTGAATAGAGATGTTTAATAAATTTATCTACTCTAACGTATAAATAAAATCCTGCAAGAATATTAGAGGCCGGGCAGAGCATATACATACAGTAACCCCTGTGAAGCTCTGCAAATAAATATAATATATGTCAACATCTTGGTGGTTTATCTTAATATTAATTGGTCGACGAAGAAGATAACGAGATGGTTACAAAGACTAATAGATGTTATATCACGTTATGCAGAAATTCATATAATAATAACCCCAAAAAGAAAGATCCCAATTTGTGGCCTCCAAGGCAGGAAAACTCCATGACAGTATGCAAAATGTATGCCTTACGTATTCGAAATTATAATACAGCCAATGTTAGTTGGTGCAGAGACCTTCATGCTTTGAAATCTTTCCACGTAGAGGAGCAAAGACATTGAAGATCTTTGAAGATAAGGTCTCATATAATATTCATCAGAATGTTTGTAATGCAGATATATTTTATCTGATATAAAGTATAATCAAATTGATCCTAAGATTTATTTGCCCTATCCATTGAACTTGTAGGTTGAATAATTTATACTTCAATGTTCTGGTTAAGACTGCAAACAACATAATGATATACATGCTGATTACATAATCACATTTAACTAATAATTAATCAATTAACTAATATGCATAAGACCCTATCAGCGAGAAGAGGTGGTTCTGCTGCATTACCTTCTGCAGAATCTCAATTATACAGAAACGACGGCAAATACTTATCCTAATAAAAAAGATTATAGTATTGCAATTTGCATTCATTACTGTTAATAAGACAACATTTGGTAATTGTAAAACCTGCATTTGGTTGCGTCCAACTCTTTCTTTCGGCTTTGATATTAAATTAGACAACACTATCTAGCTAAAAATGATTAATTATGACTTCATCCAAATACTTAGCACATTTATCTGTAGCTAAAGGTGCCATTTTCAACCTCCATCTTCACCTTTCTAAAGAAATGTCTAATTGTTTGAAGAACAAACAACAGATGGCCTAAGAGCCTTTCATGCAACCATGCAATGACACGAGGCTCTTACACGATTTCTGAGAGCCTTGAAGATTGTTTGCCTTATAATTTCTGTGCAGTGATTATGTTAATAATAATAACATAATTTCTAAGATAATATGAAACTAACTGTGAAGTTTAATGGACATTGCAGGCCTTGAGATTAATGCGTGATACCATATAACAATATAATATATAGGAAGTTTAGTCGGAAAGTTTACGTGCAAGCTGATTGATTGTTTCTGCTTGGCCTTTGTCTAGAGGAAATATGTTTGGTGACAGCAAGGTGCCTCTTCCTACGTAAACCGATACTTAATTTGTTTTAATATGGCTTAATTTGTTTTAATAAGGATTAATTTGGTATAACAATTGGTATAAGAGATAAGGTGTCATTGTATATGGAAGGATGACCAGGACTCTGTGTCCCCAATCTGGACTTATATGATTGGTTGTTCTTCACATTGAGGGCTTTAATGTCAACACACAATTAAGAATTGTTTAATTTATTAATTAGGTTATATTTCTTATGAAGTGAAAGGTAATTACGTTGAAAAGACATGAATATTTATCTATCCAATTTTGTTGATTATAATACAAAGGATACGTGCAACATATAAGCCACCCCCACAAGAAGCTGCCAGGAAAGTAAGGATACTTGAGTTGGGAACCTTTGTGGAATTACGTGTGCAGTGTGTAGAAAGTTGGTGAAAGTGATTGGTATTTGTTTATGGAGATAAGATGGTGATTAATAATAATTCTCTATTTTAATAATAGTCTGTTTTTTTATAGTATTTTATGCTTAATCTGTCGCTATATTGTTCATCAAGTCATATATAATGATCAATTAAGACTCATTGGCAAATCAAAGTTGCAGAGAAAAGTCTTCTTACCTTTAATATTCATCAGAAGAGATGATGCAATCTGAGCTTCTTCCTCCATACCTTAATGTAATCAACTCACCTTTTGACCAATTTGAATACAACGACGTCAACATGGGAAGCTATGACTTCTCTTCTCCGTTCATGGCCTCCGATGAATTTTCCGAAACTTCTTCATTTCCCTTTGCAACCATGTTCTCTGGTGACTTTGAACAACTTGCAGATTGTGATCATCTCCTGCAAGTCACATCATCAGTGGAGGAATTTCCAATGGACTTTGGAGGGTTTGAGCCTAATTATTTGATTGGTGATATAGAAGGCATGTATGCCTGTTTGGAAAGGAGTGAGGGGAGCACCCTTCCATCACAGCAATTTTCTATTGAAGGAAATGATGTGTGGAGCCCTAACTCATTAATGACATCTGAAGCATCATCCATGGATGTGACCTCTATCCATCAATCACTGACTCTGCCTCGGGAAGAGATGGAAATCGATAACGAATTGAGTATTCGTCATCTGCTCAAGGCGTACGGCGAAGCCATGGAGATGGGACAGAGGGAGCTAGAGGAGGTAATCCTGAGATGCCTTAGTGAGAAAGTCAACCCACTTGGTCAATCTTTGGAGCGCCTTGCATTCAACTTATGCCAAGAAGTTGATGATCAGCAAGGCAATTATCTGAAACAAGAATCCTGCAAGAATTTCGAGGCTGCATTTAACCTGTTCTACCAAAGCATCCCCGAGGGGAGGTTTGCGCACTATGCAGCAAACACAGCAATCCTTGAAGCTATCCCGGAGGATGCAGAGACAGTTCACATAGTGGACTTTGACATGGGAGAAGGGGTTCAATTGTCTCAGCTGATTGAGGCTGTGGCACAGAGACACAAAACACTAAAAGTCACAGCAATTAAATGGGATGTGGAAGAGACTGAAGACGGTGCTCCTCCACAGTGGAGATTTGAGGAGACAAAAAGGCAACTGCAGCATCATGCAAGATCTTTTGGCCTAAACTTGAAAGTGGAGGAGATAGCAATTAAGGATTTGGTGAGTGAAGTAAAGAAAGCAAACAAGAGGGGTGGAGGCAGAGAATTTCTAGCATTCAACTGTATGGTGGGGCTGCCCC